AGAACTCTATATTTGGGAATCATGGTGTGTGTGGGGATTTCTGCTGGTCTTCTGGGGAAGGGGCCTGCCCTGCTGGGACTGAGGTGAACTTTATCTAGAAGGGCTGTACTGGGAGAGAACAAGGGTATGGGACCTGGGATAAGCAAGTTAGACAGCCAGTGTTAGTACTGTGCTTTTTACTGAAGGTAGCTCTGTGTTTATGTGAGGGGTGGGAGAGGGAAATGATGCCACCCATCTCTTTTGTCCCAGGAGAGGGGTCTCTGCTTGCTGCTCTCAGGGAAACACTACAGAGTGAATAATCTCTCCCACTGTTTCCCAAGTGTTTTTCAGTTGCCCTTTTCACTCTCTCTGCCCCAGGGTTGTTTGCCTACCTTCTAATAGGAGTAAGGAAGTGCCCTCAAGGCTCTATCTCAGCCAAGCCCACCAACCTTTTAAACTCCAGTCTTCAAGCCCCCACTAATTGCAAAAAAAAAAAAAAAAAAAAAAATCAGTCCCTCTTGTTTTCCCAGCCAATAGCTTTGGGGAAGTATTTTCCTTGTGTGTTCCTTGTTTTATCCCCTCTCTCTTGCCATTCTCTGTGACCAGGGCTCCCTCACCTCCACAGCACCTGTGCTCTGTTTCACCCCCAAACCATGTCTCTACACTTTATACATTCCTTGATATGCCTCTTCTCTCCATCTAGTTCTGGAGTTTGTTCTCTCAGTCCTTGGGTTTATTTCTTGGGTATTCAGAATGATTTGATAGTTATCTAGTTGGGTTCGAGGGACTGGATGAGCCCAGAGTTCTACTACACCACCATCTTCTAGCTGTGTATATTAAGTTGCTGGTCATGTAAGATTCAACCCATTCTTGGTCCTGCTGAGCCACCAGCCATGAGTTCCACACATTTCAACAAGGGGCCCATATACAGGCTCTTGACTGAGGTCAAGAACCAGCTCCTGTGCAAATATGATCCTCAGAAGGAGGTGGAGCTCTAGCACTGGATCAAGGGACTCACAGGCCTCTCTGTTGGGCTCAACTTTCAGAAGGGTCTGAAAGATGGAAATTATCATGTGTATACTCATGAATAAGCTGCAGCAAGGCTCAGTCTCCAAGATCAACTGCTCCATGCAGAACTGGCACCAACTAGAAAACCTCTCAACCTTCATCAAGGCCATGGTCAGCTACAGCATGAACCCCATGGACCTGTTTGAACTGAACAACCTATTTGAGAGTGGAAATATGACATAGGTGCAGGTGTCTCTTCTCATACTGGCTGAGAAGGCCAGGGGCTGCAGAGTGGCATGCACATTGGCATCACATACTCAGAGAAGCAGGAGCACAACTTCAATGACACCACTGTGAAGGCAGGCCAGTGTGTCATTGGGCTGCAGATGGACACTGACAAATGTGCCAACCAGTCAGGCATGATAGCTTATGACACAAGAAGGCATCTACATGACCCCAAGAACTATATCCTGCAACCCGTGGACCACTTAACCATCAGCCTTCTGATAAGCACAAACAAGTATACCAGCCAGATGGGCATGACAGCTTCCAGGACTGCTTGGTACATGTACAGTACCAAGTCAGGGACTAACAAGTGTGACAAATCCTCCATGAACCAGAGTGGCCAGGTCTTTGGCTTTGGCTGGCAGATATACGACCCCAAGTACTACCCACAAGGTCCAGTGGCAGATGGGTCTTCAGTGGCTGCAGGTGACTACCCAGGCCTAGGCGAGGCCCCAGAATACACTCCCTACCACTAAAGAGTTAGAATACTGAGGTACATATGCAGGGTGTCTCCTCACATCACCCTATCTAAATTTGTTTTTTTTTTTTCTGTTGTATTTTTTTTTAGTTGTCTGAGTGCTGCCAACTAAGGCGTCTTAGGGGAAGGGGAGGGTGAAGGTATATGCAGATGTGTGTGGTACAGGGGTGCCTTCCAGAGAGCATCATGGCAGCAAACTTCCCAACAGGCTTTGGCCTAAGCTGTGAGGGGTGTTGGGGGGAAGAAACCTGGGCAGGGAGGAGACTGGCCCCAAATGATTTCCGGTTGCCTCTCCCTCTCTTCCCCTTTCTCTACCAATAAGCTTGTGGTTTCTGTACCCACAGAACTTTCAGACAGTTTTAATTAAAAAAAAATTTTTTTTCAGAGGAGGTTGTGGGAGAGATTGTGGAGTGGGATGCTAGGAAGGAAGTAGGTCCCCTGGGAGAGAGCCAGGTCACAGTCCCAAAATATTGTAGGTCTTGTGAGGACCTGGATTTCCTTGGCACTCTCAGACTGCCACCTGTGTCTCCCTGCAAGGCCTTGTGGGGAAACTGAGGCCCAGACAGGACAACAGGTTGCCCTTCTCTGCAACCTGAGCTCCTTCTTCACCATGACTGCCATATTTGATTCTCTCCCAAACCACGTCTCAGCAACTCCTTCCTTCTCCAATGTGGCCTATATTCTGCCTTTAGTTAGTTGTGGAGTTTGTTCTGCTAGCCTTCAGATTGATTTCTAGGGTATTTAGGATAAATTGGTTGTTGTCTAGTTTTATTCACGAGAAGAGGAAAGCCTAGTGTCCTCCTACTCCAGCCATCTTCCCTTCCATAGCAAATCTTGTTTATATATTTCTCTTGTATATTCTGCCTTCTTCACACTCCATCCTACACACCATAATGCCTTAGTTTGTTATTTGTAGGTTTTCTTCTAGGTGTGAGGTAGGTATTGATTTAGAAATGGAATTTTATTTCCTTATTAGGGATTTAAGACTTGAATTGTCTTTTGTAGAGTGAAATGTTGCCTATACTTTTATGTACTCTCTCATAAAGATGTATAGAATGGTGAAATGGTGTTACACGTTTGCTAATATTTACTTTTATAATGTCATATGTGTTCAGGGTGAAAACCATGAATATTAAGTGGGAGAAAACACTCAAAACATTTGAATAAAAAAATCTGTAGTTCATGACACTTCATTTCCTATAGGACCTGATAACTCAGCTACTCTATTGGATACCTTTTATTTTTTAAATTTTTTAAATTTAAAAATTTTTAAATTTATTATTGAGAGACAGAGAGCATGAGCATGGGAGGGACAGAGAAGTGGGGAGACACAGAATCTGAAGGAGGCTCCAGGCTCTGAGCTGTCAGACGCGGGACTCACTTTACAAACCGTGAGATCATGACCTGAGCTGAAGTCAGATGCTTAACCGACTGAGCCACCCAGTTGCCCCTATTGGATACCTTTTAATATGACTAGAGGACAAGATAAACATGTCTAAGATGTATTTAAGTAAAGAATATAGTAGTAAATAAAGTTTTATTCAGATGTAATCATTGAATTTCAGTGGGTCAATATTAAGAATTTCTGTACTTATCAATATCTTGAGGTGTTTTCGAAGACCATTATTTTGATTTATTTCAGAAAGGAAATTCTTTTTTTTTTTTTTTTCAAATTTATTTCTGAGAGAGAGAGACAGCATGAGCAGGAGAGGGTCAGAGAGAGAGGGAGTCACAGACTGAAACAGGCTCCAGGCTCTGAGCCGGCAGTCAGCACAGAGCCCGACGCGGGGCTCGAACCCACGAACCGCGAGATCATGACCCAAGCCAAACTCGGACGCCCAACCGACTAAGCCACCCAGGCGCCCCTCAGAAAGGAAATTCTTATGAAAGATGCAAAATATTTCATGTATCTATGGTTGAACTTAATTTAAACTTTTTAGATCTCTACTCCAGACTTTTTGCTTGTAATATTCAATCAAGAATGTACATTTGAAAATCAAAATTTAATGATTATTCTTTAAGATGATAAGACCCTCATAGTAATGGCTAATTTGGGGATATTTGTTAAATCATACACAGAAACTGATGTATCAAACAATTTAAAAGTTCCTTATAAATATTTGGTATATTTTATTTTTATTTTAATCTTGTTTTTTAAATATTTGCATGAAAATTTTATAGGTTAAAGTTTGTTTCACTGGATTTAGGGTGTATTAAAATGTAAGTAATGTTTTGGGTTCATATCTTTGGTCTCATTAAGGTGATGGTGAAGTGATAGAACAAGTGATTGGGCAACAAACCAATGACCATGATGAGAGCATTCTTGATGGAATAATCAGGGAGTTACAGAGAGAACAAGATCTGAGACTAATTAACGAAGGAGATGTTCCACATTTTCCAATTAATAGATCATATTCTGCTAATGGTGGTAAGTATGTATATATTTATATGATGAAGGTACTTTATTTTACTTATACTAAGTAATTCTATGTAAGGAACTTTTGAGGGTTTTAAATAAAAACATTTTTATTAATTTACAATTATGATATCAAATACATCAAAATGCCATAATATCATTGTCATTTGTTGCTAAAATGTCTTAGCATCTCCTACAAAATACAGGTAGTATATTTTAATATACTGTATTCTTGCTAACTCAATAATGTATTTGCAGCCTTTACTTTTGTTCTAATAAGTGAAGTAAGGTACTGCAATAAGTGTACATCCTTTTTGTAAAAGGGGAACCAACTTATAAAGTTTTCAAAATTAAAAGCACTGTGAATTTAAAAATTACTAACAAAAAATTTACCCCCCATTGTTGAAAAGAAAGCAACATCCCCTTCCTCTCTTGAATTTACAGAAATAACACTGGAAGATAAGCCCTATTATTAGGGAATACAGATACAACTTTTTTTTTTGAGAGAGAGAGAGAGAGAGAGAGTGAGAACACACATTCAAGTAGGGGAGGGACAGAGGAAGAGGGAGAGAGAATCTCCAGCAGGCTCCATGCCCACCACAGAGTCACATGCAGGGCTGATCTCACCTGAGATCATGACCCGAGACAAAGTCAAGAGTTGGACACTTAACTGACTGAGCCCCCCCAGGTGCCCCCCAGGTGAAACTTTTGAATTGACTTTCACAACAGTTTGATATTAATTACTGGCAGTATTCTAATTTATTATATCTTTTCCTTCACTTTACGAATCTGAATTTTATATAAATGTTAACTTCTGTTAGTTTTACTTTATTTTTAATTATGGAATGCTTCATGAATTTACATGTCATCTTTGTTTGTACAGGGACTTAGCTAATCTTCTCTGTATCATTACAGATTTAGTGTATGTGCTGCCAAAGTGAGCAGTGTCAATTTTACTTTTATCAAGAACTATTAGTTGGACTTTCAAATGCAGTCTTCTTATGGGATTTTGGCAAATGTGATTCCTTTTACATTTATGTAATTGCCATTCTTTCAGGTTTCATGGCTTTTGGAATCCAAGAAATGAATAAAATGATTTAAAGTGTATGTGATTCACAGTGTATTTTACTCATTTCCTGATTCTTATGTATCTCATAAAATTAAAATAATTTTGTTTTTGTTTACCTAAGGAGCACCTAATTCAGATAAGGTTTCCTTAACCTGAAACAAGATAATAAGTAGGCTGATAATCTTATATATGTAGGCCCTTTGTTTCTAAGACATAAAACGTTTTTAGAACCCTGATTTAGAGATTCATTTATGAAATCAGTGTTCAGCTGTACCCTCAATACTAGATTTCTGTGGATAGATTTGAAATGCCATTAGTCAAAGTGGACCCACTGACTTCTACTTCCAATGTTTATTTCAAATTTTTTTAATCTTTCCTGGTGCTTCTTTTAACAGTTGGATGAATGATTCAATTTCCATTTTTATTTTATTTACAAATACAACAAAAATGAATTAATAGGGATATGTCTAGGGGCTTAAATTTCATTACTTTATTTCTCCTTTCTTTAATTGCAAATCAATTTTGAAAATCAAAAATTTGATAGTTAAAAAATACTTTGGGGGGGACACCTGGGTGGTTCAGTTGGACTTTAAACATTTATTGAGTGCTTTGCTTTATTCATCATACTAAAAAAAAAAAAGCCCCATAAAGGTGGTATAGAAAATTTAGAGCAAATAGAGAACAGTGTTGTTGAGAAGTACTATCTTAGACTTTTCTATTTTAGAGTACTGATGTCAAAAAATTTGGTACTTTTGTTCAGAAAAACCTTTCTTTTTGTTTTAGCTCTTAGAAGTCCAAGTGTGGACATATCTTCTTCCCCAAATATTGGGCTTCGACGTAGTGGTCAAATTGAAGGTGTCCGACAAATGCATAACAATGCTCCTCGGAGTCAGATAGCCACTGAACGAGATCTCATGGCATGGAGCAGAAGAGTGGTGGTCAGTGAACTAAATAGTGGAGTTAGTAGGTGAGTCAATAAGGTAACATTCATAAGAAAATTGAGAGCTTTATAATTTAGTTAATTTTAATAACTAAGGTAGTTTTTAATAACTGAGTTTTATATTAGTTTTTCTACATTGTTCCATTTACTTAATTCCATATCAGCTATTTAATGATTATCTTCAATTTGCTTGGCTTTATGCTAAATGGTTTGGGAAATACTGAAAAATTAAAAACAGAGTTTGACTTCCATGAGTTCATAGTCTAGTTTAGAAGATAAGAATACAAATACTATTATGTAAGAACATGACACCATATGTGATTAAATATGTCTGATATATAGACCCCAAATACAACAGTAGTTCTGAGGAAAAGGCCATCAATTTAACATTGGAATATCAATTTATATAAGTATGTTGTAGATCCCAGTGCTTAGGGTATGTTTAGAAATGCCATTTAAGTAGACTTACTCGCATGAAAGGATTTCATTAGAATGAATTTCAAAGTTAGAGTACCTATCCTTATTTGTTTTAATATAAACTCTAGGTAATCCACATAGACTGGGAATAGATTTAGAAAAAGAAAAGAACATTTGACAGAGAGTATATAAAATTTCTTAATCATGCTATCTCTTTTACCAAGCCTTTTACCAGCTAAGCCAACAAGTAGCAAACGTAATTTAGTTTTACCTTTTCTTTCCTCACCAGTAATAAGAAAAAGGGAGACATAGTTAATTTATGAATGCTTGGTGGTAGAGAAATAAATAATTCTTTGCTCAAAATATTAAAGTAGAATTGAAAGTCAGAAGCTCAAATAGATACTTATATGCCATGTTCATTGCTACATTATTGACAATAGGAAACAGTAGAAATAACTCAAATGTCTGTATTCAGATGAATGGAGAAACAAAATGTGATATATACAACAGTAGAATATTGCTCAGTCATAAAAAGGAATGAAGTTCTGATACCTTTTACAACATGAATAAACATTGAAAACATGCTAAGTGAAATATCAGACACAAAGGGACAAATATCATATGATTCCACTTATGAAATACCTTGATTAGGCAAGTTCATAGAGATGTAAAGTTGATTAGAAGTTAACAAGGGCTGGTAGAAGCACAGATAGAGAGTTACTACTCAATGGGTACAAAGTTTGGAGTGGTGAAAAAGTTTTGGAAATAGCATGATGATTGTTATATAACATTGTAAAAATCATTAACACCATTGAATTGTATACCTAAAAATGATTAAAGTGGTAACGTTGATAATTAAAGATGTTTTTGCTTTCTGACTTTTTTCTCTGTTATGACAACACTTTATTTTTTTTTTTTTGATGGGTGTTGTTAAACTTATTTTGGTAACCATTTTGAAATATATAAATATATCAAAACATTTTATTTTATATATTATACTAATACAATGTTATATTTCAATTGCATTTCTTTTTTTAAGTTTTTATTTAAATTCCAGTAAGTTAACATATACTAATATTAGTTTCAGTAGTAGAATTTTGTGGATTTATCACTTATATATGACAGCCAGTGCTCATCACAAGTGCCCTCCTTAATACTCATCACCCATCCCCCACCCACCCAACCCTCAGTTTGTTCTCTATAATTAACGGTCTGTTTTATCGGTTTTCCTGTCTCTTTTTTTTTTGTTATCTGGCTTTTATACTATTGGATTGATTTTTGGTGATTTTCCGTCACTTTGACCTTTGTTATTAGGGTTCAGGAAGAATGTCGAACTGCAAAAGGTGACATAGAAATCAGTCTTTACACAGTTGAAAAGAAGAAAAAGCCTTCTTCTACTACCCAAAGGGTATGTTTAGTTTTACAGTACTTTGAGTTACTCTATTTTCAAATATTTGCAGATACTGGATTTCTCAAAGGTAAGAGTTATGTATTAGGGGGCTCTTTTGCTAGTTGACATTACATATAGGTAGCCTGTTTTTTAACCCGAAATTGAGATATATAGTTCTTTTTTTAAATTTTTTTTTAATGTTTATTTATTTTTGAGATAGAGACAGAGTGTGAGCAGGAGAGAGAGAGAGAGAGGGAGACACAGAATCCAAACCCAGCTCCAGGCTCTGAGCTGTCAGCACAGAGCCTGACGCAGGGCTTGAACCCACAAACTGTGAGATCATGACCTGAGCCAAAGTCAAACGCTTAACCAATTTAGCCACCCAGGTGCCCTGAGATATATAGTCCTCATAATAAAGATGAAATTTGGGGCACCTGGGTAGCTCAGTCAGATGAGCGTCTGACTTCGGCTTGGTCTCGTGGTCTGTGAGTTCGAGCCTGGCATCCGGCTCTGTGCTCACAGCTCAGAGCCTGGAGCCTGCTTTGGATTCTGTTTCTCCCCCTTTCTGCCCCTCCCCGACCTGTGCTCTGTCTCACTCTGTCTCTCAAAAATAAATAAATGATAAAAAAAAAAGATGAAATTACCCAAAGTTAAGACTGTGCTCCAAAATATAGGGCATGTTGTCATTGTAGGTATAGGACATTTTTATTAAAATGCCATTTTCATATGGTTAGCGTAAAAGCTTAAAATTGTTGGCTGATCACTAATCAGTATAAAAAAAAATACTTAGATATCCTAAGTCAGAGGTAGACAAACTACTGCCCATTCCTGTTTATAGCTTTATTTGAACACAGCCACACTTATTAATTAATATATTGGCTATGGCTGCTTTCACACTATAGAGTTGAATAGGTCCAGCAGGGAAGAACATATGACCTCAAAGCCAAAAATATTTATACTCTGGCCCTTTACATAAAAGGCCCACTCTTGGCCTACCTGATCATATAGGAGCAAAATCTGATCTATATACTGGGAAGATTTGTATTCCCAGTAGAAACTACTAAGCAGAGAGTAAGATTCCTATACTTGATTACATAGTAAGCCCCTTACTAGTATTCTGAGATTGAACAAACTAGTGGCATAAGGATGTATGTTCTTGTTCCCAGGTTTAACCCTAACTCCTCAAAAGTTCAGTAGCTTGGAGAGTCTAGGATGATTTTAACTTTATACAAGAAATCTAGGCAAGGGGCACTGAATTTTAAATGTTTCTTTCCAGTATTGATAAACACAATTTTAGGTAAGTACTATATGAATATCTCCAAATATCCTTAGATTATTTTGATGCCCACTTTTCTTAATTTCTGTTGAAGTTTTCTTAGCTTATTTGATGTTCTTTGATAAGATTATTTTCTTAGAGATTTTCAATGATTCAGATCCATGGGGCGCCTGGGTGGCTTAGTCGGTTAAGCGTCCGACTTTCACTTAGGTCATGATCTCGCGGTTCGTGGGTTCAAGCCCCGCGTCGGGCTCTGTGCTGACTGCCAACTCAGAGCCTGGAGCCTGTTTCAGCCTGTGACTCCCTCTCTCTCCTTCCTCCCCTGCTCACGCTGTCTCTCCTCTCTCCTAGAAATAAATAAAAAACATTAAAAAAAAACAATTCAGATCTATGATTTATATTACTGTTTTCCTGCTAACCTGATTTGTCAAATATCAGACTTGTCTGAGATTAATAAAGTAGTTGGCTCTATAAACATTTTTATTATATCAAGAATGAGAAATACTTACATATAGGAAAAGAAACTGGTCCTTGATACTGATTTACTTATAAGATTTTTTAAAAATTTTTATTTATTTTGAGAGAGAGAGAGAGCAGGAGGGGCATAGAGGGAGGGAGACAGACAGAATCCCAGGCAGGCTCTACAATGTCAGTACAGAGCCTAATGTGGAGCTTGAACCCACAAACTTTGAAATCATGAGCTGAGCTGAAACTAAGAGTTGGATGCTTAACCAACTGAACCACCCAGTTGCCCCTATTTATTCCTGATAACATGTGGGGGTTGTAACTTTTACAAAATGGTATATCATTAAACTATTTTGTACTTGTAAAGGTTAGAATAAAATAAAATTCA